TCAGTAAAAATGATTTTTGTGGATTTGATATTAAACTAATTTTATCACTGACAGATAATTATCAACTGATTGTGGTAAATTTTAATTTGAAGATCAATTGTAGAGAAAGATTCTTTAAAAGGAAATGGATTATCTCAAATCATGACTTTCATTGGATCTAACTGAATATTCATTGGATATCTATTTAAGCATTAATCCCCATGAATACACATTTCTATGATCGAGTGTACAAACATTTCAATCGAACTTTGAGGAAATTAACACCAAAAGTGAAAGTTTGTAAAGCAAATCTTGTTTGCATTACTTCTCCAATTTGAATTCATATCAATTACTTCAAATGATAAAACGAACTTCCTGTAATTATAAATAATTTCAAACAACATAAATAAGAGACTTGCTTTTCAGATGTTTTCAAAATTCTAACATATTTATTTCCAAATATTTATCTAATTTTATCTATCGATTGATTCATTTTTGTTCATTGATAAAATTGAATGGTAGATTAAAAAAGTTTCTTCTGATGTGAATGTGTTTATAAAAAAAAAGTTAATTTCTCTGTTCACTGGACTAATGAAAAAATACTTATTCGTCTCAATTTGTATATTTTGTTTAAATATCACTTGTCGTGTCCAATTTACCTCAACATTTCAATATTTTCCCCATAAATTCCCAATAAACTGGCCAAACATAAATTGAAAAGATTCACTTCAAATGGTAAGTAATATTTTCATTAATATTATTGACATCAGATATTACTTGACATTTTCATTTTTGTTTTTTACAATATATTGAAGTATCATCAGGGTTCAACTGGAGAAAAATTCTAGTTTATGACCAACAGCATTACCAATAATAATCATAGACATCAACTTGGATCTCCAAGACATTTTTCTTCATAAAGCACACTTATAAATATAAGTACCATTTCAAGAAGTACATCTTTTTCTGAACACTGTTTATTTCATACAAAAAAAAAGCTACAACTATGAAAACTTGACAAAAAAATTTTTTTTTTTTTGGCAATTAATGTACTCAACTGTGTAATAACATCGATTTTTCTTCATTTCCTTTTGATTGTCTTCTGTCAATATGTTTAAAATGGTTCTCTCTATATTTACAAATACAAAAGATATGTGGATAAAAATAGAAAACGTTTAGAAGAGCAATTACTTTCAAGTCAACGTCAGCTCAAGTGCACAAGAAAGGTTGTCTGTCCCCAAACGCATTTTCATTCCAACTCAAGAGTTAATAATTCAATACAATCATCTAAAAAGACAAATAAGTTAGAAACCAATTCAATTTTACATTTTGCTAAAAGGCATTTTATATTACCATTTTAGTTTTAATCAATGAAACTTCACATTATCTATTGCAAGATAAATATATGCCTCCATCTCTATATATTAATTGACAACCGACTGAATTTATTATTAGCAATGCTTGACTGATTTGTTTATGTTTAGTTTCTGATTGAGACTTGAGCTGACTGAACATTTTCCCTGTCATTCAAATTTTCCAATTGATTTGATAAACGTTTTAATTACTTTCTAATTCGTTTTAGAGTTATTATTTCTATTTATTTTACAATATGTATGTAATATAGAACAATCTTCATACATATCTACAGCAAAATTGAGCATTATCAAAATGAAAGTTAATGCAATATTACTCTCATGTAGAATAACAGTATACGATTTTAGGCGTATTAGAACAATTTGACTCATCCATTGCAAGGATTAAGCCTTGATAGTTACATTAGTATGCATTGCCTTGTCTGCTATTTGCAGACTTCATATCCTACACCACGTATATTTCTCATCACACGTTTTGATATTTTCATCAGTTTAAGTATTTTATATTAAACATTAAAATATCATTAAGCTATTCTTCATTTAATTTATATCTAATCATTCAACCATTAATTAATTAATTATTTTTAATTGACTAAAAATAACAATTTAAAATATTGAATGGGGAAAGTAAATTAGAATTTTTTTTACATCATGTCATTAATGAAGTCCATTCCGGAATAGTGTAAATCCGTGTTGATAGTAATATCCTAATTCATTACTCTATTATTCAGATCTTTGAATATTTTATTCATTACGGATACTTTAATATGGTCATCAATCAAAAGAATTTTACAATGGATCTCATTTTACAATAGTAACTTCGTATTTAACTTTTTTTCCCTTCAAACTTTAACTGTATATTCTCTAAAAACATTTATTATTTGTAATACAGATAAAATTAATCATCCGCTAATATAATCTAAAACTTTAGAACTTGGCATCGTCTTCAAAGTAATAATTAATCATAGACTATATCCTACGTGAAAGCTGTGAATAATGAAGTATGAATAAAATTTAGAATTTAAATCTTTTGTATTGTTAATAATGTTATCTGAATTAATATTACGAAGAAAAAATTTATAGTGACTTGAAACACTAACTTTCTTAAAAATTCTTTTCTTCTTTTCTTTTAAAGATCAAAGTAATCGTGTATGAAAAACTTTGATCAACTCAATATTAATATTTTTATGCATTCTATCTATATCTATATGTATAAAATATTAAATGAAGTGAAAACAGTTTACAACTTGAATAACTTCCATTTGAAAGATTCGTATTTTAAAAAAAAAACTTTCAATGGAAATTGAAATCAATTAGACTTCATCAAATCTAATTTTCTATTTATACATGGCAATATTTCAAACGTTTTTAATATCTGAAATTAAACATGTAAAATGAATTATTGAATGTTCATGATAAAAGCATTTTTAAAAATATAAAATGGTAATATTTTTTCCTGTTACATATACATTGAAAAATAAAAAAAAAATTTATATTTATTCTATAATGATTTTATCGATAATTCTTTGTAACATCAAAGTAATTTACCTAGCAATATTGAAATTCATTTTTGAAATTTTAAGAATAACAGTACAGATTCAAATCCAATATCTCTTATACGATATACCTTAATGTAACTTAAAACTGATGGGATTTAAAGCCAAATCCAATAAGCAGTTTTAGAGTAAATCAAATAAAAAATTATCATATTTTACCAGATAGCTTGAAAATGACTCGACCGATTTAGTCTCATATTTAATCAGTTTTACGTTACGTCAACACATATTACGAAAGAAAATTCTACTCAAAATACCTTCAAAACCTTAAACCGATTTTCATGATGAACTCAATTGATCTTGATGTAATTCAGAGTTGATAAGATGAGGAGTGATGTCGTTAAGCCACCCCTGAGTTATTTAGGACAATCTGAACAATCCATGCATCCTCCAAGAGGTCTTCAGAGAAGGTTAGCCCTAGGATTTTCCGCCCTGAATATTGTCCGAATTTTCTGAATAATTCGAGAACAATTCAACCGATTCTCCTCAGAATCTTATCAATCCTAAGTGGCTCTAAGACGTATTGATTGACCTTCCAATGGTTAAAATCGGCCAAAGTACACTCAACCAGAATAAGAAGTTTTTTCAAATTGAAGTTGAAATTTTAAAAGTAGGACTTTTCAAGTCTAACCTCTTGATTATCAATCGAACAATTTATTTAGATGCTTGAATAAATACCTTTTTAGGAAACTAATTTCAAAGAATAATGATTAATAATTTCAAATAAATCGATTTTCAATATTATTTGTTTTTACTTGTTCAGCAATTTAAATCAATTCATCTGTAAATTTATGTTGTTTAACATTTACAAATGGATTTTATAACTGATAACATTCGTATTGAATTATTGAGCTTAAATTATGCTTTCATTTGTTTTGATATGTGATTAAATACTTCTAGTTCAAAGGTTCAATGGGATTATACTCATATTAAGCGTATAATATAAATAAAATATTCAAAAGATTAATAAATAAAAGTAGTTATTATTGTATGGAAAATATTCTTTCATTTCATTGAACAGTTAAAGCATTTATATTTAATTGAATCATTTTAACTTGGTATTTATGATTACAGCTTGGAAAAATTGCAATATTTATTTAAAGTCTGGATTTTACAAAATTAAAAAGATTTGTGTTGAAAACTTACTTACTATTTTGACGATATTTAGAGTAAGTTAAGATTGCATAGACTGAAGAAGGAGTATTTCAAGGAATTCTAGATTGTGGTTCATCAACTTGCTTCAAAGCAACAGCTTTTTATGGAATGAGTATTCGTGTTGCTGCAAGAAGTTCCATTTAAATAAAAGTTTGTCACAAATTGTGCTTTAAGCAAGTACTTGGAAAGTAGTTGGCAAAACAAATTAAATATTTAATTGCATACGTAAACAGGTCGTACATTATAAAAAAAGTACGAAATTTACATTCTCAACTAGGTCGTCCTGTGGTTATCACTAAAACTGGAATAAATAGAAAAATTAAGTAATCATCAGTCACATGAATATTGAACAGTTAATCTAATTTTAATAAATGCAACGTTGGAATTTTCGATTGATTTTATATTGAGTTTTTATGTTATATTCAATAATTCTTTATTCAATTATTCACTACTCCCCTGAACTTGCTTGTCAATTGATCAAATAGGTTGTTAGTTATTTTATTCTGTGAGATTTTAATATTGCAAAACTTGGTTGTGTTGCGATAAATTTAAATAGAGATGTATTATTTTCTTTTTTTAAACAAAGCTTTAGTTTCAGAATATTGCAATTCAATTTTTCATTTAATATAAAACGTTTTTCTAACAAAAATAAAAGAATTTTATAATTAAAATGCCAAGGTAAAAATTTTTAAGCTCTGCTAAAAAAAAAATGATGAATGTCATTATTAATGAAATATGTTTTAAGATTTATTATTTATTTTAAAAATTATTGATTACGAAAGAAAGCAATAATAATTTCAGACATTGAAAATATGAAGCAACTAATTATTATGCATTTCTCAATATCTTGGTTTTTATTAATAACTATAACCAGAAATAGAGATTCACTTAATTTATAATTTATTAACACTTTCACTTTTTTTAAATTTTATTACAGATGACTGTCCCAATTGTGTTGATGATCATGCCAATGGCCTTGGAGTTCCGCCCAGATGGACTATGCCTCTGTTAAAACTTGGTGAAAAACGATATTACTTAGGAATTTTTTTCAAGGTATTCCACTACCCATTTACATTTTAATTCTCATTAATTTCCCTAATTTTCCTACTTAAATAATTTTAAGTACTTTTTTATGCTCTTTTGAGAATTCATAAAAGTTAATATCTCCAAACATGGACTTAAAATGAAACCACGAAAGCACACTTTATGTTAAATTCAATAGATTTAAAATATATAATTCAATTTTTTAATAATAAATTACTTAACTTCTTCTCTAGTTTAATAACAAACTTTGTCATTTCAAGGATTAATTTAATTGATGAAAAGCTGTCCAATTTACCAAGATTTAATTTAAATGCGGGAAGTACGTTCTAACACAATATTTTACCCAAAGTTGTTACTTTGGTGTACAATCAATTATTTCTAGATGTATTGAATGCTTTAATGCTACTTCACACGTTATAATTATCTATCAAGTACTAGAATAATTGCAACACGTTTATCCGGTTAGTGGTTTTCTAATAGTCCAAATTATGGTGATGGATTAAACTGAAGTAACGTAAAACGAATAATCCTCTTTTGATCTCACTCTATCTCTTTTATTTCTTATTCAAATGTTGAAGTAAAAATTTCATATATATATATTTTTTGTCATGTGTAAGCAACATAACTCGACCGCTATTTGCTTTCATCTTGCTAATTTCGCATCACCACTATTTGGTTTTTTAACTTTTAGAACTTATTAAAGATCTAAAAAGGGAAACTATGTTTGAAAGCATTACTTGTTTTTGCTTTTTATAGTTTCCGTTATCAATATTGTTTTTAATTAATTTTTATTGATACATAAAAGACAGTAAAGTAAATAAATTTTATCATAGTAAATATTCTTTTGCAGAAAATTTGTTTTCTCTGGTACGAAAATTCATGAGCTAGAAGATGAAAATTATAAATTAGCATTAATTGAAAATCGTTCAAATAACTCTAGAGGACATGATTTTGATTGAGAATATTATTTTCAAAAGCTATTTGAAAGCGTGTGTATAGAATATAAATTGATAAATATTTTTGATATGAAAGTTGTGTTAATTAAAAGATGAGTATAGCTATTTCAGACATCCATCATGTATTTTAACTTAAAATTCCTTTCATAATTGAATATCATGGACAAAGTTCATATAAACTGATAAATTACATGAAGAATCTTGTATACTAGATAATCATTCATAGTTGCACAACGTGATTGAATTTTAAATAGTTTAATAGACATCCTGAAATAATTATAGGTATAATACAGTAACAGCATTCTTAAGAGGTTGAATATTTTGTTGTTTATATTAAACCTACACGTGTGAAGTAAAAGATCTATCAATTCATCAAAGGTCAAGTCTCATTAGAAAATGAATTAGATATTTGACATTGACATATAGACATTTGTAGATTGATGTTTGATGAAAAATTATCTCTTGATAGATTACTACTAAATAACTACGTTATAATTTCCTCTAAGTATCTCATTAAAGAAAAAGTATGTGTTTGATTAATGACAGGCTAATTGGTACCGAGCAGCGCAATACTGTCGATACCATGGAATGCACTTAGCAAGCATAGCATCTCAAGAGGAAAATGATAGGCTTGAAAAGCACATCAAAGATTTTGGATTGGGTCATGAGCACTTCTGGACCTCAGGAACTGATCAAGCTGAAGAAGGAACGTTCTTTTGGATGGCTAATGGACGACCAATTACTTTTGAAAATTGGAATGTTGGTGAACCTAACAATTTCCGGTAATTATTATATATATATTTTTTTTAATAATAATAAAAAGTGTAATTTCTTTTCTCATTCCAAGAAATGAACTTTCTTTTTGTGATAATATGTTTAATGAAATTACATACATAATATATTTAATCATAGACTGCTTTTTATCGTTGAATCAATTGAATTCTGATTCAGGATACGAAATGTCGGAACAAAATCAGAGAATACTACTTTCAAAAATTCTAGTTAAATAACTAAACTCTGTAATTATTTGTAATGATTTTTTTTTTCAATTTCTTTCATGTTGAATATAAGTCGTAAAATATTTTGCATAGATTAAAAGTTAATTTCTACTTCAATCTTTTCCATATATAAAAATCTCTTTACTTCTACCTCTTGTATGCATATTCTACAGACTTTGCAGCACATGTGTAAGACATAGTATTGAAAGACGTCATTGACGCATGATATTTTCACGACCCAATAACCAAAAATGCAACACTTTTTTATTTTTCTTAGAAATGAAGATGGAATATTTTCAATACTACCTTGAAAAATCACGTTGTTTCTTTTATATTTCAAATAAAATCTAAAAAATAATCCTAAATTTTACCGTATCCATTTTTTATGAACACTATAAAGCTGCTACGACATCGTTCAAATCGACTAGACTACTTGGAAATGCATTGAAAGATAAAATTATTTGAATAAAACAAAAAACGTAACGGTAAAAAAAATTTTGAAATCTCGATAAAATCTTCACTCAGATCGCAGTATGGAAGTTATATTTATATTGAAAATAAATGAAAATTGATATCAACTATCATGAAGATAAAATAAGTATTAAATAAAAAAGAAGACAGGAAAAACGTTGTCTATTTATATAAATCTTATAAGCGTGTATTTTGAGATTCACATTTTCCGGTACGCATCATTTTTCTGTATAGACTTTCTTGCTCTATGTTCATATGTGTACTATACATTTAAGCTGCAGATAAGTTGCATATGGAATACTTATTTCTGAAGTGAGGTGACTCAGATAAGTTTCCTTCCATATTTTTATGTTGCATAAATTCAATTTTTTTTCTTCACCACATCGTTTATCAGTGGGAGACTGAGATAAATCACCAGTCCAATGTTCACCAGGTTATTTATTTCTAGGAATTGGAAAACTATTTAACTTCAATTATTTGTGCATTAATATTTTTTTATAATTTCTAGTGAATGCTTCTCAATATTTTTTATTTAAACTCTGTGCACTCAATAATATTTTGTTCAACAGTAAATTAAAAGTTATTGAAGAAAATTTATAAAAAACTTTGCATGACACAGAAAAATGAACTTTATCGATATACTCTGGACTTATTGAAAATGTTTTGAATTTTTTTGCAGATATGAGAATGGTGAAGAAGAACATTGTCTAGAATTGTGGAATCGAGATGGTAAAGGACTCAAATGGAACGATAGTCCTTGCAGTTTCGAGACATTTTTTGTTTGTGAAGTTCAGTGACTATTCTGACTTGTAACTCTTATATTAATATAAGTTGTTTTTATATGTAATTGTATGTACAAGTTTTATCACAATACTCTAAACTTATATCAATACTCTAAACTGACACCAAAGGAAAAACAAACGGTGTGCAAGATTGAATGAAAGGCATGTTGAATATTTGATAGATCAATTGTAATAACAATTATTGTTATTGATTAAAACGTAACTTTTCATTCATTGAATACCCTAGAGATAAATCAAGATCACAATAATCAACTGTAATTTTTTTGTTAACAACTAATTTAAAAAAAATAAAAGTAATTTCTCTGTAGATTATTTTATTTAAATATTTTTTGATCTGAAATGAATTAACGAATTTTTTTTTGCAAGATAACAACTAGAAATTGAAAAAAGTATTAGAGCATAAGAATTAAATAAATATAGAAGTAAACTTTACACCATTTTCAATCGACTTTTTCAAATAAGTCAGTAAATAAGAGCATAATGGATGTATAAAATGCGAGTGAATCAAATTTTTTATCTGTTTCAAATCTGTTATCTGAATCAAAAAAAATGATTTTTTTAATAAAAATTATCCGAGATTGTAAAAAAATAGATAAACAAGAGATATAAATCAACAATAATATTGATCGTGTTTTAATTGAATACACCAATTATTCAGAATTGAACGAAAAATATTCAATATGAATATTCTCTGTTTGACAAATCCATCATAAGCAAAGGCAGGTCGTCATTAATTCTGGGTAAATTTATGAATAATTTATAGAAAACTTAAATGATCTTCATAAGGTCGAAGATATGCATGCAATATTAATCCTTGTCTTTTAGGATTCGACGTAAATTAATTCAGAATTGAACACAAATTCACAAAAATAAATATTCATGGTTGATATTTATATTTCACTTTATATAAAAAAAACTTAACTATTTTTAATAGATAAAAACATCGAACTTCTCATTTGTTTACGTTCTTTTACTATACCTTTTTTCACACATAAAGTATTACTTACCTGGTACTCCATTCTCTGCACGTTCAATACACATCGATTTTTGTTCAACGCTGCAAAATAAAAAAAAAAGATCTGCATACAGTGTAACAAAAAGCATAATATATTGTTACCTTCGTAACGAATCTTTTTGTTAGGCTGGAAATAAAAACCCGATGGAACTGGATTGACAGAACCAATTAGTGGATTATATATTTTTTGCAAACAATCGAAAAAGTATAACTAACTGAAAAAATTCAGTTTCAGTCTATTTTTTCATTGTTCACGTTGATTCCTTTAACTTTTATTTTATTCAACTCGATGACTATTGAAACTTCTGAACAAAAACTTTTTTTAAATTCTTAAAACGTTTGAATTAGAAAGAATCATTTTTTAATTATGCAATAAAGTTGTTGATGATTAAGCTACAATAGACAAAGTAAAAATACACTTTCACTAAAATAATAAGTCAATTTTTTAATTGATAACAATTAAGCTGTAGCTCATCAACTACTTTTTTTTTCATTCTATTCGTACTCTATGAAATTTAAAAAAATACATTCACTTTATTGCTTCACATCTTTCTAATAGAATTTTTATTAACTTCCGTAAGTGAATAATTGATCATATTATACAATCTACATATTAATAAAGAAGAAATTATGATGAGATACAAGATTGGAACCTTATCATCCCAAGGTATCTGATCAATATTTTTTTAGCTAAACATGATAAGCCATAAAATTCAAGTCATGTAGCAAATTAACCATCATCTTTGCTTTCATATACAGTTGCTATCTTGTGTTTAACAATCATGATAAATATAATAACTTGAAATTGAGAAAAAAGAGTAATTTAACATTTAATATGCTTGTAAGTATCATAAAGTTAAGCGTGCCATAATTTTCTTATTTAACGATGATGGTTCTACTGATTGATAATACCTTTCTGAAGGAACACCTGTGGTCCACAGTCGGCAGCGTGGAAACTGGAGAAGCAGTTGTCGGCAGAACAAAAATCTAGAGACGTATTGAAAGCAGTCATTTATCAACTGATAATATTCTTGGTGATTGTTATTTAATTAAATTTGTTATTATAATCAGAATTCAATTTAAAAAATAGAATTGTGATTATTTGAATGATTGCATATTTAATAGATAAAAGAAAATATCATTGGTACTTTTTCAATCGTTTAAAATCAATTTTCTTGTCTCGAACTGATATAAAGTATTGCTACGTTGTTTTTAATGTGCGAATATCAAGTTTTAAACTTTTTATTTATGTAAAAAAGTGAAATATGCAAAATCAATATCGAACATTGACCCCAATATTATTCTTTTGTGACAACGACATTCTACATAACATGTAAGTCCTGTTTTCAATAATTAAAAATTTTAACACGCTATCGATGTACTTTCGAATATTTAATAACGCAATGACATATATGAAAAAATATTTTTATCTATTTTTGCCTTGCTATTTTATTTTAATCAGGTGAATGGCATGTCATTCTTGAAATAGTTGAAATATATGTTAATAAATTAAATTTTATTTACTTCGTTATCATTTGTTCATTCCAGAATGACTTAATTTTGAACAGGAACATTTATATTTTGATTTAAAAACTACTTCTAGGTGTTTTATCGCCTCCCGGATAAAAAAATTTCGTTCCCTAAATTAATAATAGGACAGTCCAATAAAGTTTTTTATGGACGTTTTTAAAACTTTAGAATCTAAGCTAAACATGCATATCCATAAATAATGTTTAAAAAATTTCACATGAACAATTTATTCCTTTACTCCTAAAATGGGGTAAAACAAGAACTTGCTATAATTTTAGCATAAATTATGCTCAAATTATGATTTTAACTATTTCGACTTTTTTCCTTTCGACCAGATCATTCATATAAACCCTCGATCAACCCTGCAGCATCATTAGCATAGAAGTTATGCACATTTTCATATCTTACAGTTTTTCACCAATATATCATGATTTTATTAATTTCATTATGTATATTGTTTTTGAAAGTAGAAAACATTTAAAGTACGTTTGGAGTAGAGAGGAAAAATTAAAAAAAAAAATTTGTTCCCCAAACGTTTCCCATAGTCTAACGAGGAAAATATTCGGGGAACCTTTAGGGAACGAATTTTTTTATACGGGCTTTTCATAATAAATTCTTGATATCTCTTTATTTTTCTCAAACGACAATACCTCCAAAATCGTTTTCATACAATGATAGTTAAATCGCTTGGTAGTTCTCAGATTCTCAGTTAGTTGAGTTATACGATTAATTCTGAAGAAGCTATCAATAAGTGAAATATTACCCTTTTGGCATTTGCATTGTTCGCAGCGTACTGTGAAGATATTTCACGATTAAAGTCAGCATATCTTTCCATTGATCACCTAGTAAATCAATCACGAATTTGATCGAGATTCTTTTCAATAATTCATTTTTTAAATTAAATTTTTTTCAAATTTATAGCACTTCTCTGTCGATAATTTGATACGCGATTTTCAATATCCAAACAGGAATCCAATAAAAACACAAAAACAATTCATATATTTACTTTTATTACAAAACAACAATTTCTTTATTTAAAACAACGTACAATCATTCACTGTAAATCGTTTTGTGGTTTATTTGTTTACTGAATCTATGTTTGTGATGTATTTTGAAACTTTTATCTTCAGAATGCAGATGTCATAAACTCATTTTCGCAGACAATTGGTTGAAGGAGTTTTTTTTCATCATTTTTATTTCATAAATTTTCAGTCCTATATTTAATGATAAGTTGATTATCCTATCCTTTCTTCTATCTCTACCATTGAGCTCAATTTCATTAAAGTGTTTCTTAAAAACTACTCTTTCACCCATTTGCCTGTATCTTACATCTCTTTTGCAATAAATTACTGATATCTTTTCGAGAGTCAATTATTACTTGAAAAATGAGTTATTTCTCGTCATTCTCATAAGATATCTTTTGTTTCTGCATAAATAAGAAAAAGAGAATTATTAGACTAACATTATTATTATTATTTATCAATAAAATGAACATGAATATTTACAATAAAGGACATTTTACATCCACAGGACTTTTTTTTTTGTTTTTTTCATTATATATATTCATAATTATACAATACTTAATTTTATGATGTCACAGCAATTTTTGGTGGGCACAGGATTCATGACAATCTTTGAATAAATGTCACGATTTACTTAGCATACATTGTCGGACAATATTTTATCGGTTTATATGATTATTGGATATTATTTTATATTTATTCCATTGTTCATTGGCTTTGTGATGGAAATGAATTCCTCTGATTAAAAATTATCGCAACTTATATAATTGAGTTGCTGTTAAATCAATTTATTTCTTTATCTTCCGTTTTGTATATCTGGTGTCTATCTATTTTTAATAAAAATAATTTCTCTATCGTAATTGTATTATAATGAGCGAGAAGAGACTTCGAGTTAGTAGATTCACAAGATAAATTATTTAAGCTGTATAAAATGGTGTATGCAAGTCCCACAACAAATTTATTATGATTGACTCATTCTAAAGCTTCGTTGTTTTAATTCAAGTATCTTATATTAATCGTGAATAAAATTTACAAACAAAATTATTCGTTCTTAAAATAAATCAATTTTAAATTGAAAATACAGTTGTACTGATAATTGTATTGAGTTTGCAAAGATAAACAATATTTAATAAAAGAGTTAATTGAGTAGAAAAAATTTCCATTATTGCTTTTACAAGCATTAAAGATAATTAAAAATTGTAAAAGTAATAACCTGCAAATTTGCTGTCTGTTATATCAATTAGAGGAGTTTTTGTATTTGAGTTTCATTACCATAGTAATTTTAATGTATTTTAATTGCAAAGGAATGAGTTTCAACAATATTGAATAAATCAAGATCATATCAATTTTATTCATTTTCATAATAGTTCTGTGCAAATAAAGTGAATGGAGCGAACTGAAAAGTTTCTTTTGATTCAATTTTACATCTTGTAATTTTTATGAAATTGCATGAATAATTTTAATGTATATTTGGTCTTGAAATTCAGAAATTCATTAATCGTTTTAAGTAGTTTACTTAGTAAAATTAATAAGTTATAAATTTGGTATGCACTTAGGCAAATCTGAAATTTCTTCAATTATTCGAATCATCTGTTACAGTCAATCGGATTAACGACTTTTAGTTCTATGATATACTCTAATTGATTTACACTCATTAATTTACAAATACATTTTTTTCACTGATTATAATCTTTTATTGTAGAGAATAAAAATTTTTACATCTTACTAAATCCTTACTAATAAAATTAGTATTAATTTATCATTATTATAATGTAGATGATTATTTTGATTTTATTATCTTCTAAAATTTGCCATAGATAATTTATACAACATAGGAACTTAAATTGCTAATAATAATTTTTGGAACTAAAAGCCCTGGGAGTCTGTACGAAAGACTGAAAGACAGGTGTGAGAAGTGCAGTAGACTATTATATACGTTTAATTTGTCTACATGTGTAGGTAAGCATGATAAGAAAGAAATGATAATAGTTGATCTAACGATTTAACACTCCTTGCGTTTTTAACAGTAACAACAATAACAATATCTTATTTTCTTATTAACAATATATTTAAAAATTTTCATTTTTAAATGCACACTCACAAATTCAATAATACAAAAAGCGTATGATTTATACTCAGCCAATAGGGACATTTTATAAAATATACTGTTCATACGTGGTACTGTATAACTTAATTTAAAAATTTTTTGACTTTTAACAACCCGCATTACAATTTATTAATTATCATTATCTTATCACTTTGGCACAATTCCATAGTAGCATATTATTCCTTATCGGCATGTTTTCTGTTCACTAAGTCACATTTCATTTTTTAATTTTTTAGACATCCGATATGTTTACGAGCGGAAGTCTCTTCTATGAATGCAAGCATTTAAACAGAAATTTTGTGAAAGGCTATCGACAAAATATTTCTGTCTTCAATTTAATGATCAATACAATTATGTTTTATCTCTGTCATTAAATGATTAATTCAATATTCAAAATGGACTTTTGAGCACGTCACACGTTTTTTAAACTGTATTATTTCTTTTAGAATATTTGATAATATTGATATATTTATATCTAAATTTTTATATATTGTGCCTTCACATATATTTATTTATATTATATAATATTACTCATTTATGTTTATGAATTCAATATTATAGACCATTTACGTACACTAGAACATCCTCCAACATATATTTCGTTCAATATAATTTCTAATATTTTATTCTTATCATTAATGGGTAAAAATTTAACGGCAATGAATATTTTTTTAGTTACTATTATTAATTCCTTTGTTCACTCATTTCTTTGGTTTATTAAGCACCCGTATACTTTACTTTCGCTCCATTCTTTTTTTTTATTTTATTATAAATTTTTTGAACTCCAAAAATCCTGTTCATTTGTTGATTATCATGATTTGTTTTTTACTAATTTTCATTTCATTTGATTCTGACAAAAATAAAAATGGTAGTGATAGTAGTAAGTACAATTGTTTTAATATCTTTTTAGTTTATCTATTTTTTGCTGAGTATTGACATGAATATCTTATTTGATTAATGGATGGTTTTAAATATCTATTTGATTTGTATTTATAACTGTTGTTCCATATCCTATTCTGTTCAAGATTATTTGAATATTTCATTTGAAATTCGGGTGACAATCTTACAGAACATTTGTTTTTCAATTTTATTCATTCATAATAGTAGTAATACTGTTCACTTATTCGTTTAATATTCTATCTAGCTATTTACTCAATTATTATTTTTGTTTTATTTATTTGAAAAATTCATTGTTTAAAAATTTTTTTTTTCCTTCTCGAAAATTTTTAGCATCACAGAACTGTTTCTATCTCAGCAATTTCCGTTCGTGAAGATTCACTGTCTGGCACCCTGTGTGAAAAATAATGACTGTTTTAATAGTAGTAATAATTAACATCAATTTTGCGATAAAACAGAGATACATTGAGTTGGCAAATAAAGTTTGGCGTGTATTTAACGGCTCACATTACTTCTCCATTACCTTTGTGTAAGGTGAATGGAACAACGAGCAAGCAATTGAGGCCAAAGATGTGGGCAATTTTTTTGTTCAACGATATTTCAGGAGTTTATGAGGAAATTACAGTGCCTGTTTGTGAATTTGTCTTAATGTAATTCAAAATTAATCTAAGCATTTTGTTTTTATTTCAAAAAAATTTCAATCCGATCATTACCTCACATCTTTAAAATTCAATTTGTCAACTCAATATTTTCTCATTCACTTTAAAAAAATGTGTATCAATTACGAAAAAAAAATATTAATTACTTATAAATCTTTCCTGGCACAATTCCTCCACCATACTCATGACTTGCAACTACACTCCGCCTATCCCCCGGTCTTGACACTTCTACTGCGTCTAAATATCTAAAATTAAAATAATAGCGACTACAATAAATCTATAAAACCAATAATCGATTACTTTTAATACATGGTCTTGATAAAGTATAAGTAATTCTGAAGAAAAATGGAAAGTAATTTTTTATGATAAATTTTATTCAAATTGATGCAGTAAAAAATTGATAGAAGAATACATGCTACACTAAAAAATTAGAATTAACAAACCACTGTCAAATAATATACGAAAGAAATGTGATTTTTATCATGCCCTTGATGTTTAACTTACGAATCAAAATACGGTGGTAAGGGATGTGGCGCTTCTACTGTTAAGTGATCAATATGTGTTGGTAATTCACCCTGAAGGCATCCACGCCACCACCCCAATTTCTCGGATTTCCTTTGAAAGTACAGAAATATTTATTTTTTTATCTCGAATTCGAAGACCTTAATTATTTTAACTACTTTAATTTATCTGATTGAATGGCTGTCAAAGCTGTTATAAATGTGTTTAACGATAAACAATCATTCCAAAGTTGTAAGTATAAAAATAAACATACTAATTTTATGGATAAATTCAGACTATTTTTTCCAAGTTTTAATTAATTCTATCAATAATGATATATATATGAGATCGTGTGTAAAATATAAATTTTTTACTCCACGAAAATAATAAAATTCTTACTTGCTATGTGTTGGTTTAATGCCAGAAGTCTCGAGATCTTTTTCCAGCTGCCTTATTCTCACTTTAGCCATATCCAATTCATGTTTAACTTTCCATAAATGCGTATTACATATTGGATCTCGACATCGATGTTGACGTATTATGTCCTGAGCTTCAAAAACAGCTCCACGGAATGTCAACGATTTACCCATACTCTATACATCAAATGAACTTTAGTACACTAGGGTATATGTAATGAGTTAATAACTTAATATAGACTCACCAAACTTATCAAAGCACAGCAACCACCTTGATCGCTCTTTGGTAAGTGTTGTCTGATATATTTAAAGTATAGGTGTTCTAAGGCAAGAAATACTCCTGCGAATAATATTCCTACCATCAGCAAATAGAAAACACTCAAAAATTGTTCCAATGCCAATGGATCACTGCTTTTTTGAACTTCCTTTCCTGGTTTACATGATCCAGTCATCCAATATCTTCTTAGGCGTTCCAGATCACCTGTTATTGGATTTTTGTTATAAAAATATTTTATTTTACACATAAAAATTGATTTAAACTAAACAATTATATAATAGATTTTCATTAAAGTATCAGATAATAAACAATATTAGTTTGATTAAAAACCATTATTATATATCATGTTCGATTGAAAAAAATTGTTTTAAGGATTTTTGTAGTTTGTAGAAAAATAAATCACAATTTTACAACTAAAAAAATTATAAGTGCGTTTATTTATATTCTATTTATTCTCAAATAAATGTTCAAGAGGCTTGTTGCAATAAAATTTTCAAGTACTTAGTTAATCTGATTTTCTAGTCCACTTAATCTGTCGAGAGCGTTAACTGGGCCAATTAGACCCTTTTTGTCAAATACAATTACTACTACAAACCATTATTCAAATTTTCTTTGTATTCACTGAAAAAATAAAATTTGTCTTTTTCAGATAGCTTAGTTGACCTTCTCTCATTCTTTAATTAATGATACTATCATTTTTCATCAAGCAAAGAAGTGTGAAAAGACTCCATTAAACTCTATATTTTTCAAAAGAAATTAGTTTTTTTTCAACATTTACCATTTTCTCTGTAATCAAGTAGCCTTTTATTGAACATTTCCACATATTTTGAGTTTCTAGCGAAAGCTAAACCATACCCAGTCATGGCATACCAAGAGCCTACGGTTAATAATCGACAGTCTTCGTCTTGAGCTACTAAGTAATCCAAAACAGTTCCATCATAAAAAAAAGCATCCAATTCTCTGCAACATAAAATGTAGGAAATTAATATCCAAATAATTATCTTCAATTACATCTGATTAAATAGAGTTGTTTAGTTACCCGCTTTTAACAGCATCAATGCCTTGATTTACATTACTTTTATTAAAATTCTTCATGTAAGAATACATCTCCTTAAAGTACTTGGATAGAGTGCTGTCTGTATGGCTCCATGGTATTGTACCAAATTTGAACATTGGCTTATGAGACCAGGGCTTTATCAAGCGTGGGTCGTCTAAGCCAGTAAATTCATGAAACTCCTCTCGAGTTATCATGAAAGCTGCCAAGTTGGCAGTGTATATAGCAAGGAAGACAACAGCGAACATGGCCCAAACATTGGTCATAAATCTGTTGTTTAATGAGTAATCAATACTTAAATTATTCCAGCAAATCAATTAATCATATTCATTATTAGTGAGCATAAATAAATTCAGTACTAAAATAAATAATTATTAAATAAAAAATGAAGCAATAATAGATGAAATTGATACTTAAAATAATAATAACAAAATTTTCGAACTGTAGTATACATTACAATTTAATGAGCTTTTGAAATAAACAAATAAATATTAATATCTCTGATGTTAACTATAATAAAAAATATCTAGTACACTATTTGTTTTAATTCTCATTTATACCCTTTCTCGAAATGCGTAAAATAATATCATCATCAATATTATTTTAATATAATTATATAGCATCAATGATAAATTTATTTCAATATATTTAATAAACCAAAGATGAAATATTATTGATGGAATGAATTGAACTTATTGTAAATAATATGTTATGATTGCTTTCATAAATATTTGATGAAAGGGTTTAATTTTTGATTAATAGAATGAAATTTATGAAAAGAAAATCACAGCAAATTGAGAAAAATTAAGTTTAGTAATATATGGAAATCTAGTTATCTGTTTGCTTAGTATTTTATCACGTCAACAATGTTTTTAGTTAGTTTAATTATATCACCAATTCAATTATATATTTACCTAGCTGTGAACGCTCGAGGCGAATCAACATGTACAGAAGCCTGAAACAATACCGCCCAAACTAACCAATATGATCTTGACAGAGAGAATCGGTGATTACCAGCTGGATTTTTCTAAAATTCATAGACAAACAATTTATTTGATTACTATTTCAGTAGTTGAAGTTTGTTCTGGGATTATGTTCAAGGAAGTGTGATATTTGATCAACTGAGATCATGAAATTCAGCATGTTTTCATGAATTGGAAGAAAATTAAATAAATTTATCTTGGAAATATCTGCTTTAATTTATAATTTTGCTGCGAATATAAAGTGTAATTGAATATGAATTTAATGCTTACCTTCATATTGAAACCTGACGGAGATAACCACTCGAAGAGAAAAATCATAAACGTGGCAGCGTGAATTGCAACAATTCCCACCAACATCCATGAAGCCGCATCAAAAGGCTCTGTAAAAAATGTTCCACCAAAAAAGTCGATTAATCACGAAGATAAAAAACTGAATGGCCATTCACTCTTATGACGAAGTTTTTATGAATTGACCCAAAATACGAGCTTTTGATTTTAGAATGGAAAATAAAAAAGTACATTTTGTTATTTGTGTAATGGCAAAAAATTATGATCTAACTATAATATCCCTTGTGCGATATTTCGATTGATTTGATGGTTTTCGATAAAGCTACAAAATGTAAAACATCTAAAAAGAACGATAATTTCTCTATTGATTAAACATAAAATAAATGACCAACCTAGAAAAGCCGTCGGGGAAATAATTCCAGTTCTCTTTGATACTATGATAGCAATTCCAGTTTCCATGTAAGGCACGGTGAAATCAACCACTGCTTCTCTATCAGAATTTATCATCAGAGATGTAAGCACCATGTCGGTTTTTCGGTTTACCAAATCTGCGATCAGTCCATTCCACTTGCCATTCTGTAGACAAAAGACAAAATGTGTGTGTTAGGTAAGCAAGATTTTATTTGAATGAACATTCTGCTAATTCCAATGGGGAATAATTTCCCAAGAAAAATTATCATGATCCTTTTATCATAAAACTGAGATATATTTAAGTATATAACGAGGGTTTTTTGACAGATCATGCTATTTATAAGTAAGAAAAAAATAAAACCACATGAAAAGCTGATTCTTTAATAAATTGCTGTATCTGCCCAGTACTGAGGAGCTATTTTACATCTTAAAAAATGTAAAGTTTGCAAATAAAAATAAAAGAGATCTTGTTCGCTATTTGAAATACATAATGAATATAAATAACTAACATTTATTGCAGTGTGAAATTTCTTTTACTACAGCACACTATTTTTTATAGTGAAATATGATCTCCATTGTAATTAAATTATTCAGCATTTTTCCATTCTTATTCTCGTGCTCTTCAGTTATTAAAATGTTCAGTACGAATGGAGGGAATTCTTGGAAGAAAAAATAGGAGCTAAAATTATAATGCTCAAAAAGAATGTATAAAAAGTAAAACCAATTTTATTTATTTCGATTATTAAAGTCTTTATGCAGAAAAATAAAAAACTTTCCTCAAAAATTTTTGTGCAGTCAATGAAAAAATAATCCAAAGTGAAAGAACTAAAAATAAAATAACTGGTAAAATGCATTGAAATAAATGTAAGAACTTGAAATTTCTCTAATGTAAAAATCCTTTTTATTTTTGGTATATCTTTAGACTTTATTCAACATACCTCAAGAGTTCCCCATTTTTCATCTTCAACTCTCACCAACTCATATGTAAAGCCGATTTCTTCAGAAAATTTCTGCAGCAAGTCAATACAAAATCCACTACAACATTGATAGAAGCTCTCGTTTCTCTGGGCTGACTGAATATCCATCCTGTTAAAGATCATTGTTATCATTATTATTAACGACATGATTATCTCTTGCTACTGATTGCAATTAAATCTCCTCTTAAATTGCTTCATTTCACAGATCTCATTATCACTGAGGTTAAAGCTACTAGTAACGTGTATAGAAACGTGCCAAAGCGATAATCTTCTATAGCGAAATTAAGTATCCTTATATCCCTTATAACGATTAAACGGAAACGCTTCCAATATAATTAAATTCTCTCAGCTAATATGAGCCACAAAATTAACACCTGTATTTTTTATTCAAACATCTATTTTTACCATTCAAATTTCAGTAGCACAATTTCAATTATTAAAATTGAAATAATAATATTGTATCAACTTTTCATCCTATTATCATTATGAAGTCCTTTTATGAATATTATATTTTATGTTCGATTATGAATTAAAATAATCTGTCAGATTATCAAATGAAACTAGAGCGGATTATTTTGACTGCAATGTGTATTTTATTCTATTTGGTTGTTAATGTGGATAATTTATTTTGACTTATGTTAAAAACCACAAAATATATTTATGAAATTTTAAATGATTGCGAAATCCAGGGTAGGAAAGTACATTATAAATTTTATTGAGCTTTCGTGTCAATTGAAATAACTTCACACTCTCAGACGCTGTAATGTCCTTTATATCCAGCACTAACAGCTATAACGAAGTGACTAATTGCACACGGCTGACCATTTTTAGCTATTACTACTGCTCTTGTTCGTCTGTTGGAATTACGGTATTACACAGATAGTTCAAAATTTTATCATTTCGACATTTTTATCTACTTTTATTACAGTAAATTGAATAATTACAGCTTTAATTATCTAATAATTGACCGATTTAGTTATTATAAATTTTTAAATTAAGTAACGATTGAATTTTTTTTAACGGAATCGAATTACATTTTTTTTCCATGTCATGCTACATGCAGACGAAAACCAGAAAATTGCACTTTACACTCAGTATGTCTAACTGAACCATTTAGTGTAAAAATTCGTCTGAAGTTCACATCAAATTTATTTCCCAAGAGTTTAAAAATGTTACTCCAAGTCGATTCCTCAGCCTTGTCGAACAACTACAACTATGTGTATGAAAGTTTTAGTACAGGAAATCTATAAACTTGGTAGGTTATGACTTGCGAAGATTAAATACTTTGATATAACACTTTAATATCGTAGTACAGAAAGAAATTACTATTTTAGTAATAAATAAAAAAAAAACTTTTGAAATTTGAAGTAATTAAGCTCATATACACTGTAAATGTTAGTATTTTATTTTAAAACATTAAAAGTGTTTTAATATGACGTCCCCCATTCGATTAACATTGTCTCGATTTTAAAACGTTTTTAAGTGTTTTAAAATAAAACACTAAAATTTACAGTGTAGAAGTTGATTTTTATTCATCTTTTTGATCCTTCATTTGATCTACAATCAATGAAATTAAATTGAGGTTAGAAAATGGAATATTTTATAAACATTTACACAAACTTGATCACATGAAAGGATTAACGATTCATGATTCAGTTTTTTGCAGTTGACGTACAAAAATTTTATTAGTTAAACCAAGTAAATAATAGAAAAAGCTTCGAAGGAAATTGTCTATTATCACGTACGAAGATTCACACGTATTCGCCATTTCTTCATGACGAAATCCACAAAACTAGATTACGGAGTAATAAAAGAGCACTTTGTCACGTAGAGAAGAGTTGTTTGTTTTCTTCTCTTACTTGTAAAAATATTTTTAGCATTACGTTATAATTATTGTTCAGTGATAAATATTGTTGATTTGATTTTTTTAATTATTTAGAAAATACTGAGTGATAAAATTTGTTGAAGTACATAAAAACGATGAATTTTACTTGTTGATATATCTATATCTGACCTTCCTGAAAACATCGATGTTATAGGAAGTCGGGGATATTGATCCTATATCCGTTCTCAATTTATTCAAATACTCGTAATTTTCACTGATGAACGGTAGAAAAGGTTTAATTTTCCGCATTCAAAAGAGTACAAGAAAATAATAAATATCTACTTAAAAAGGTGGAACGGAACAAATTTTTTAGGTAAATTTAAATCCGCATATTTACGAGAGAAAATGATGGAAAATATGAGGAAATTTATTTGAACATATTTTTTTATTTTTTCTAAAATTAAAGTAGTTAATTCACAGACATGATATCATCCACTGAGAGAAATATGTAGTTGAATTTATTATTAATAATTCGAAAAGAACTCAACTATTAATTTTTAGATTGTCGTTCGTTGAATTATTCATTTAATTTATGAGGGCTTGTATATTTTAATTTTTTGTACTGCAATTATGAATGGAATTTTATGTCAATATAAAGATAACTATGTTAGTGTATAATTAATGATAACATTAAAAAAATTAATTTTTTTTAATCTTAATTAAAAATGACTTTACAATCGATTATTTTTTTTTAGACAAAGTAAAGATAACGCTTGAAAAATATTTTCATCAAAGAAGTAATTTTTATGTAACTTTAAATTATGAACGTATGGAAGAATTAAAATATTTTTAATGAGTTTAGTTTTTTAGACTGTTTTTAAAAAATACTTTTTTTCGTATAAATATTTATTCCTCTTATTTCACCAAAATTAATTTAGTATTTATTCTAAAAAATGTAAATGACATTTTCTAGACTTAATGATTTTAATATCAACATATAAAAATTGAGCTGTTTTTAATTTCTGTACACTGAAAGAGAAACTGCTTTGAAGTTTGTTTGAATAAATATCTAATGTAAAGTATGTAAATTAAACAAATTTACAATTGGTTTTTCACTTTGAAATATTTAATGAGTTTTCATATATCGAGTTCAACTCGAAACAAATTTGATCTCATAACTTGGAGAATGGGCTTAAAACACCCACAAAATGATGTTAGGTATTCTAAGAAGCAATTACACCTTAACACAGAAAATAGCCCATTCTTACCTGATATAATTTTCTAATAGGTATGCTATTATGTTCTCTATAAGCAGTTTGTAACAGTTTTGCTACAACAGTTTGATAACAATATTTAGTTAGTAGGAAGAGTCGATTGAAAAGAAAGACTAGAGGTTTTCCTATTACCTGCCGAACAAAGTTTCTGACAAAATGAAAGTGAATAAAAATTTTATCTTCAACTTTAGATAGAAGCTAACTTTACGAAAATAAGTTTATTAGGTTTATAGACTAAAGAATTTGTTCAAGATTTATTTTCCGTTTCAATTTGATCACAACAAAAATTATTAAATAGCTAATAGAATAAAAGTTATCGAAAGTTTTTAATTAAATTCCAGAGGAAATCATTCTTCTCTCCAGAGAAAAAAAAAATAAATCAAACATCGTATTCTATTCACTTTTTAGTAAATCCTTGACTGTTTAACCTATCTATAGAAATTTATAAAAAAAACCATTTATTTTACACACACACTCTGTTGTTTAGGAGTCAACTTTGATGAAGACAAATACTATTTCCTTTTATCTGATCCCCGGAATACTGTATGACTGAAAATGACAGTTTTCTGATACTGTTTTGTTACAAATATTTTTTGATTGAGTTTGATTTCAATTATTTTTGTTCATTGATGTAACTATTTCCTTACTAATTTTACCCGAGTAAAAATAAATAGACCCAAAAGAAGCCCAAAATGAAAAATAATCCCAATACAGGCCCGATTGAACCCCAATCTTGACTTAGAGAAATTTTCAGTGCCCAAAACAAGCCCATCACAGGCTTAAATTTTGACGGAGCCCAAATCAAGCCTAAAACTATTTTGCAGGCCCACAACACGCCCAATTCGAGCCCAAAAATATTTTAAAAATCTAGAAAAGAAAAAAAAATTGTCATAAAAACTTATTATTAAATTAACTTTCGCGCTACAAATTTACATTTGTAATAATTTATTGTCATCATTGTAGAATATGATCTTAGAAAATGAGCTTGAATTGAACGTGTTTTAGGCCTGAGTTGGGCGCGTTGAGAGCCTGAAAAATCATTTGGGCTCGAATTGGGTCTCTTTTAGGCGCGCCCAAAAACTAATCATTTTTGCTCGGGTATTAATTTAATAATATGCATAATATATTATATTCATAGTTAATTCGTTCTCTAAGATAGTATTGATTGCATCACTTCAATAATTGAGGCCAAAGACACATACATCAAAGACTATTCATTATTTCTGTTTTTAATCAAGTACTATAGCTCAAGAAGAGAGTCAATAACAGCACAACATAGACAAGAAAGTGCTAAAAACAGAATAGCTTTTTATTCCTCATCAGTTTTACTTCAAGCCAAGCATCTTCTATCAAACCTATTTGAAGTTGATCTTACATAACCCAAAATCTTTGTAATTTTTCGGGTTATGAGAAATTCTATATTAACATAAATTTTACTAATGTTATCATTTAAAATTTGGATGCAGAAATTTGGTCATATCAAATGTGTAAAAAAATAATCATGAACCTCATTCATAGGATGAGATATAAATAATTGAATTTTAAACGTAACCAAAGTAAAGTTTGAATTGTATTTAATATTTTCATCAGAAATTAAATATCAAAGTGAAAGATACAATCATATTTAATTGAAGTATGATGGAATGTTTTTGAGAAATATTTGAAGACAAGTTCGTTCAACAAACTTGATAACTTATATTATATGCTTTGATCTTCGTTGGAATGATGATTTCTTTTCAAAGTACGATAGATTTGTAAAAAGCACTTAAAAAATTCTTTTGAAAAACTATTGTAAGACTGAAAAGGTAAGTTTTTGAACTCAATTGGAAAAACTAAGCTTTATATCTTTGAAACAAAATACAGCTTTTAGAAAATAAAGAAATTTCTATAACTCTTCAAGACATTGGTATAGATTGGATACTGAAATTCTATTTTCTGACGGATACGGTGGATTTTTAATACATGTTCAAACGAATCTCACCGATTTAAATTGAGTTTATTGATATCTGG